TTTTTTTTTCGAATTAATGTTATTTGGTTTTTTTTTTCTATTTCATACCTTATCCATAGCACACTAGACAATGTATTTATTACACTATTCATATGAATAAGGTGTACTTTACTCGAGTAATGTGTAAACTGCTCATTTTCGAACATTACCAGTAACATATATAAATTATATTTATTTCCATTCTTAACTGTAAAAAGAAAAAAAAATCACTTTAAATGTTTTTAAAATACTGTACTTATGTCTTCTATAAATTATACGTTTATTTTTATGATGATTGTATATGTTCAATTTTTAATTTTTCATATTTTCTAAAAGAACTTATTCAATTTAATAATTTGGAATTCTCTAAAATAAATATATGGCATTCTGTACATGAAACCTATTTGAAATTTTATTTTATAAAATTTGTGATCTAATGTAATAAAATCTATGTTTTCTATGCCTATTTATATCTGAATGATCACCTTTTTCCAAGGAAAAAACTGCTTTACGTAATGTACATAAAACTTTTCCGATTTCATCATCATCTTTTAAAAGCAGAAATTCAACTTTTAAGTTAAGATTTAATTCAAACCTTCTCTTAGGCAATTGAATTTCAATTTCTTTTTAAGTAACTTATTGAAATATTAAAACTGTATATAATTACAACTCACAACATCGATTTTTATAACAATACTAATGGAATTATAAACAATTATCGTCGAATATCAGAATCATGAAAGTAAACGATTTTAAAATAACTATGACTTTCAATAAGATTATGCTTGCCGTTCTACATAGTGTATTAATAAAAATACAACCGTATACTGTAAATAAATTATCAGCGGAATTGATTCTTATGGTAATTATTTTTTATGAATACAATTACCATCACTGTCATAATCTATAACGAATATTTTTTTTCAATAAATTAATTTTATTTAAAAATAAAATATAATTTAAATCTGTGTATTAAAACTATATAAAAATGTGTATTTAATAAAATATATTAAGAATTGATACAGGATAATTGATGTCGACTTATAAAAAAAAAAGACAAAAAACGTCCTGAAAGAAGTTTGTCAGGACAACAGGACACAAAGCTACAGAAAAGACAATTTTGCATAAAAAAGAACGTATTGCCACCTAAGACTCTAGGCACTTCTTCTCAGACGTGATCGTTTTATGCTCGAAAAAACTAAATGCGCAGCCTAACTATGCACCTGAGCTTGTGATTCGTGCCCTTAATCCGTCTATGACAAAACCGACGTACATCATGTCCTCGTTCTCTTAGGCTTCTCCAGACCATAGCAATGAAGCCCAAAACGTATTGAAGGACCAAGGGTAGATCTAAGGGGAGAAGTTAATGAGGTTAACTATCCTTATACAGTTAACATATTTGTTGATGGAATTAGCCTCTTTAAGACTTATATTTTTCAGGTGTGCCGATTATAAGTGGAATACTAGACCAAGGCAAATGTCCCCTAAACGACACCACTAGTTTAGTTGCGCAGTACTTACAGCAAAACATCTCTGCGCCAAATCCCGAGTAAGACTCCGTAAAACAAAATAAATGTTGACGTTTTCGACGATGGTCACAGATAGAAACCCAAAAACGCACATCCTACGATCGTGTTGCGTTTGTTCGTCGCAAAGGTGTACGTACACGTTTATGGTCCAGTTTACGCCGCAACAAGTGGCCTCTTGAAACATCCCGACCCGCGGCTTACCGACTGCGAACGGGGACCCGTGGGGCCGGAAATGACGGTGTCACGTCAAGACGGGACTTTCGACGGAAAGTCACCCTGCGTGGGTTAGGTTTAAAGTCAGGTTAATATCCTTTATATATATCCTCTCGTAGTCCGGAGGTGTGCTCAAAGCACCCCCCCTACGGTACAAGCAAGGATAATAATAATATTATCACGGCCGCCGCCGGGCATGCGGTTCGCAGTTGATGGCAGCACAAAGCATCGCCGCGGCGATGTACACGGCCACCGCGCCCGGATCGATGACTGCACCGATACGCACGCGGCCGTGTAAAATGCTCACCCCAGCGACGTTGGGCGGATAGATATTGAGTGCATGCGAAAGTGTGTGAGCAAGAGGTAAGAGGAGAGTTACGTTTTGGTCGGTTTTGTTCTCGTACGGCTCGGTATCATTAGAACTTAAACGCGGTGAAAACGATTTAGAAGATTTATTTATTTTTTTTGCGAAAAAGAGCTTGTTAAATAGTTGCACATCAAATAAGTGACTTTTTTTACGGTTTCACCAACGCAATCGTTGTTTTTTTTTCCCTTCTAAGTACATATTTTTTACCTGTCGCAGTGCGGGAACAACACGAACCCCTTGGATTTTTTTCGGAATGCCGTTAATTCACGAAATCGCGTTACGCACCCCAGTAATGCAGTACGGTGTCGGTGAAATTCACGCTAATTCGGGTCACGCGTTCGGTATCGGGCATACTCCGTGTAATCGTACATACGCATATTTATATATATTTGATACGGGCACATAACAAAACGGAAATCGCGATCGCGCACAGGTCGGATTGATGACATGATTGCGGCATTATTTATATTTCGGATCGGCGATCAGGCGAAGTATGAACTTTTCCTTACACGCGCTGATCGTGTCCCAGGGGCTTATATTTTATTATTAAACATTACGCGTGTTTTTAACGGTTATTATACTTATTTTTTTGTTTTCACGTAAAATCCACCGTACCACTAAGTTGTTTCATTATTCAACACTCCGGTTTGTGCGTACGGTTATAAAATGCATTCTGTCGATCAGCAATTGCTGAATAAGTTTTAAATATCGTTGAATAAAATATAACAATCATCAATCAGCGGTATAACTTCATGAATTGGTTTAAAAACTTCTAGTTCATCAAAATGTCGGTAGAACAATGTTGGATAAGACTGCGACAACGGAAACGGTAGACTTTTTTGCCCGTCATCGTTGTTATGATGTTCCTTATGACTTATAGATATTTTAATGATCACTCGGAAACTAACAATTATTTTTCTTACTTAATAATTATTGCTATACACTAGCTGCAAACATACCATAGAAATAAAATCAATTCTGTTAATTTTCTGTTAAATCATTAATTTCCTCTTTTGGTACCGAAATAAATACTATACGTATTATGAAATCAATAGTATACAATTCACCATCTATAAGATTTATTAATATTCTTGAATCCATGTTTGTGAGTCTTTGATCACACTTCTATTGCGTTCGTTATAAATTGTGCCAAGTGAAGTTATGATTTTTTGACACTTCTATCCAATTATCGATCGCTTGAAAATATTTTTATCAGCTACGGATTATGCGTAATGTAAGCACGACTTTCACGTAATGGTAAAATATACACTGCTTAAGTGTTTTCGAACATATATCAAATTATATCCTTATCCAATCGTACGAAACGAGACGATTCTCTCTAGCAATATTAGATATTAGCATCGTATTCCATGCTATACAGAATAGTATGATAAATTGTTGGCTACGTATTTATACATTCTGTATGCGTATGACTTATTACTATATTCAACGTCTATAACTATTAAATCTAATGTAAATATAGATGTTGGAATAAAAATAGTAGAAGGGGTTATTTGGATAATATTTATTTATTATTATAATTTTTTTTTTTTTTTGTATTGTAGAGGGTATTAAAATGTGTCTACTTCATAAGACATTTGAAAAAATTAATCATTTAACTTTATCAGAATACTTCATCGATTTTTTTTTTTTCATGGTTGATTCTGGTACGCAAAGGATAGAGATACATAGATACTGAAAAAAAAACATTATTAGAAATCTGAGCTTTCTAGACGTCTTAGATATATCAGCCACGGAATAAAATACATTTAAAATTAATTAAAATAATGAATAGTTGTATATGAAGAATATATTACAGTTAACGTTTATTATGCGTATTATTTTAATATCTTCTATAAAATGCTAATGATTTTTTACGCATTCCGAATGTAATACTAGATTAAAATATAATTCGAATTTCAGTTTAGATCTGTTAACGTATTTTATATTTATATAAACAATGTCTACAATGTTGTGACTTTTTGTGACTAAATGAGTTTCAAATTAAATATTTATCGCGTTTAGCTATAAACTGCAAGTATCTTGTTCATAACATTATGCTTCCTTTGCAAATCTACTCAAAGGTAAACAAACTAACAAACTAAAAGGTCATATTATCAAATATAAAATGCTTGTTTTGCAATATTATGAGTTGAAATACATCAAATTTGAAAAGCTGTGTTTACTATACTGATTAATTTACTAGCGAATAAACTGCTATACGTATTATATAATAATATTTATGTCATATATTTTAAACAAAGTTATTGTTTTGGAATTTAAATATAGATGACGGGTAAATAGTTCATTTCTGGATATAGAGAAATAGTATACGTTGTATTTTTTTAGAATAAGATAAAACGTCTGTTTCATATAAACGTACATAAATAATTAAAGATAAGAAACGTTAATCCATCAAATTCAAAGAGTGAAAATATTTATCTTTAAATCTCATTTTAATACATAAAATATATATTTTACAATTTTAAATGAACTTCTTTAAAAAGCCGTATCTATTTTTAATTTCTAATTTAAATGCAGAAATATACACTTTATTATTTAAAATTAAAATCTAAGAAAATTTTTCAAAAAAAAAAACTTACAAATATATTATTGTATAATATTAATATTACTTAACATCGTGCTGTACTCAATTATCAACCATTTAGAATTTAAATATCATTATTTTTAATGTTTTCTACTAATATATGTATTATTATATACATTTAGTTATAGGACAAATGGTGCACAATGCGAAAAAATTATTTACAATCATATTTATACCTTACATCCAATAGTGGATAGTAAGAGTAATTATTTTGATTACAATGTTCCTCGTTGGTAAAATACAAGTATTATAAATCATAAATCTATAATGTATACACATTCATAAAGTACAAAATTATATTTACTTATGGTAATATCTTGAAATCTTGGCCAAAAATACTGCATAGTAAAAACGCCCAGTTAATTTCCAGTAGAAATAAGAAAACAATAATTTTACAACCCTGTTGAACGATGAAAATGACTTGACGTACCAGAAATTACGCCTCAAGTGCAGAACGAAGAATGTAGTTGTACATCCAACAAATTGATGGTTAAGAACCGTTGAAGAAGTCCCTTTGGGATTTTGAACGAGCTTGAAGATGTTAAGACTATAATGGACCTGAAACGGTAATCAAAAGATCTTGACCGGTAGTTAAATTAATTGAATACTCCAAGGGAGTCGAACAAATAGTAAAACACATTTCATTGAAACTCTCAATGTGATCAATAATGACGGAAATTATTTAAATTATCATTTATTATATTTTATTTTCTTGACTGTAAATATTTACAATGATTTTTTTAAAAACAAACATCGAGAGACGAGATAACATTAGTTCACGTCTTAAATAGTCCATTTGTAATTAAATAATCATTACATTACATAGTACATTTGTAATATAGCTATAGTACATCTTTTATGGCACCAAACAATTTAAATATATCTAAGAATGCAGATAAAATATTACCGACTTGAGATAATCTAGATTTAGATTGCTATAGAAAATAATACAGTTATCTTTTTAAATTGATGATATACTCATATTAGATTCATCTAGTTAAAATAATTATGCAAATTAATAAAATATCACTCATAGCAATTAGTGAAATTTAAATCTTAGCATTTAAAAAGTTTTAATATATACTATATCATTTTCTAATTTTGATGCGTTCTTTTAAATTTTATGATTTTAGCCAGGTATTAAAATAAAATAGAACTATGTCATTTAACTATAAGGGGAAAAACAACATTCAATATTTTATGAAATAATAATAATATGTTATGCATATTATAATTATTGTACCATTATTTTATAGATGTCCCTTCAAAATGAAGATCAAATTAAAATCTGGAATCAACATAATATATTTATGATATATATTTATTGTAAAAACATATCTAATACATTTTAAATCAAAAAATAATTTTAAACGTTCTACGTATATATGCATAAGTAGTTGCAGTTTTTATTTTTTGAAATAAGTATCGCATACATTTAATCAAATTTATTACTCTTATTTTATAAAATCTATTATGCAAGCATATAAATTAATTTAAAATATTTGGTGAATTTTTTAAAGTTGAAATACTTTTTCACTTACCTATTTAATTTTATACCCCATTAATCTTTTTGATTAGATCTGAGACTGAAATAATGTCGATAGTTTTTCGTTATTTTCAATTTGATCTGAAATATTTAATAATGTTATTAAAATATTATGATCATAAATATATTAACTAATTATAAGTAACACATTATTATACTATTTGGTCAACGATAAACTGATTTCATAATTATATTTTCTTTTAAAAATAAAATAAAACAGGCATATCCAGTCATTATATATAGTACCATAATTAATTTTATTGTGTTTTAACGAATATTTATGAAATAGAAATTATTTGAAGAATTTTATCTCAAGTCTCTGTGATTAGTGCAAATTAAGAGTACAGTTTTTAAAACTACATTAAGTCATAATTAAAATTCCATGATACGCATTAACGTTTTCATAGAAATTTCGGTTGATCCTGAAAAACTTAAAAAAAGAAAATGCAATTTAAAATAAGTTCGTTTAATTGTTTCGAAATATAATATTTCGTAATTATTTAAACACGGCTATTAAAAAAAGTCTTTACACCAATACTATAAATTTGTCTTTGAATTTGAAAAGACTTATTAAGTCAGCAAAATATGAAAAACTTCTATGAATTCTTAAGAAATTTAATTTCATTAAAATTAGTCTAAAAAACCGTCTTTGATCATACAACTCATCAATTTCAACAAAATGTATCAGCACTCGGTTTGAAAAGCATAGCATAGTATGGCTTTTTATTTCTCTCACTGAATCACCTACAACATCACCACAGATCACGTAAAATAATATTAGTCATAAGTATAATAATAATTATAAATCATTCCTACGACTTTGCTTCGATCATAATCTTCTTCCATCCGCAAAGTGTCTATATTCCTTTCATTTACTACTAAGCCAAAATTTCTTCCCCAGATTACTCTCTCTTCCACCCGATACATTCTTACTTTTGAATTCGCGTTTCTCAACAATCAACTCCGTCGATATATTTTGCCATAACTAATGTTAACTGTTTTATTTTAATAAAGACAAAAGTTGCACAACACAGAAGTATAAACATATTCTATTTTAATAGATAATCCGTAATATCAAAAGATAAAAGTAATAAAAATTAAAAAATGCAATCTGTGATATCATCCCCCAAAACCATGTTTTTTTTTTTTTTTAAGGAAAATCGTTTCGGCATATTTTACATTCAGGGGTATCGGTTATATTGTACAAGACATAGGGTACAACAATAAACATGGAAACGAGGTAAGTTCATGTACGTTTTGCGCACATACCCGACGAGCACGTGGAAGTGAAAAATGTGACACCGAGAGATTACTAAAAATCGACTACCGAATGCGAATACTACCAGAGATACGGTTGTTATTTTTACACTCATGCTTTTGGTCGATATAAGAAACACAATAACAATGCAGGAGAGTGTAAAGCACTCGGAAACTCGGGCTTTTCGCAATGTACGTTAACCCGAGAAACTTTTCACAATGGTTCGATTCGTGTTCAGTAGTGTTCGAAAAAGTGTAATGATAATCTGGGTCTCAAAGTGATCAATGAGTTGAATACGGCGGACAGCCACCATCAACGGCGTACGTGTGATCATATAGCTGCGTTAGACAAACGCTACTTGGTTTCATCGAGCGAAATTTTATCGGTATATAAAAAATAGAAATAAATATAGCTAAACATTCGGTTTTAAGCTTAAAAATAAAAACGCATTAGGTACAGTGATAGAATATTTAGGACAAATAACGAATAAACCTTTTATAAGTTCATTTTATTCTCAAACATTTTCGACCGACGTTGCGCTTACAAGTGTTAAAATGTTCGCACGCAGTATATAACTATTATGCGTTTAATATAGGTACGTGATTCTATTCTATTTTATTTTCACTTTATTATATTCTGACCAAATAATGAACCCTCCTAAGCATTCTTCTGTGACGGCCGATGAATACTTATCTAAAAATGTTATTCTCAAAAATATATATTTAAATTACTATTTAAATATATATCTTGAATCTTACAGTACAAAAAAAAAATGTGATAATAATTATCTGATTCATTTAGTGTAAATAATAGGAAAATATTAACAAAAAAAAAAAAAAAAAAAACTAATTAAATTCAGCTAATATAATCAATTAAAAAATATAATATTACTAGCAGACCCGGCGAACTCCGTTTCGCCACCAGATTCGTTTTATGTAACATTTCGTTTGGTGATTAAAAGATAAAGAAAAAAAATTTTTTTTGTTATATATTTGAAAAGGAAAATATTTATTTCATTTCACAACAGTAATAAATTCATTTCAATTACCTACTAAAATGAAGTGTTATTTAATTGTTTCATTGTAGTGCTCTTTGGTAAACCACATTTTTTGTTTTTTGGTCTGACGTTAACACAAACAAAGCGGATGGTTTCCCAACTCGTGAACACGCAACGTATAACTGTCCATGTGAAAAACAATGATTTTCCAAATTTATCCCGCAAACACTAAGCGATTGGCCTTGCGACTTATTAATTGTCATTGCGAACGCAAGGCGAACTGGGAATTGCAATCGTTTGAAGTCAAACGGAAGATCAGTCGGAATCATTGGTATTCGAGGAATACATACATTTTCACCTGCGTACTTTCCGTTAATAATGGTTGCCTCAATTAAATTCGGCATAAGTCTCTTTACCGAAAGTCGAGTACCGTTGCAAAGTCGCGGTGGATTCAAATTACGCAGTATCAAAATAACTGTACCAACTTTCAGTTGCAAGTTATGTGGTGGAAATCCTGGTATCTCCAGAGAGTTCAAAAACTCCGTTGGATAATTTACTACATCATCGGGATTTGTTATTGAATCAACGGATTTGTATGTCACCAAATCGCCAGCAATTTTTGATTGAATGGTGAAATTCAGTGCGTGGACATCATTATTCTTTGCTGCAAGAATTGCTCGTTGACTTAACCAAGCATAATTCTTATAATTCTCACTAATGTTTGGGAAAACATTTTCAATAAGAACTAATTGAGTGTCTACAAATCGGCAAAAGTCGTTGGTAAGAGTAATTAATCCAGATGTCGCATCAACTGGGACTTTTCCATTTCCAAGATCTAACAATTGTTTGGAAAATTGTGCAGCACTTTGATCATTTTGAAGTTGAACTCTCATATTAGTGGTTAGCGATAATGTTTTTACGTTATTCCATAAAGGTGATGCCTTTAGGCAAGCATTCAATTCATCTGCAGGCGTTCCACGGGGAACTACTGGCAACGTCTGCCTGAAATCGCCTGCCAACAATATCATCAAGCCGCCAAAGATGTTGTTATTTCTCCGAAGATCCTTCAGTGTGAAGTTAAGTGCTTCAAGTGATTTCTTATGTGCCATTGTGCACTCATCCCAAACAATGAGCTTGCATTGCATTAACAATTTTCCCATTGCACTGGATCGGGAAATATTGCACGTTGGAGTATCAATTGTGTTTAAATTGAGTGGCAACTTAAGCGCAGAATGTGCAGTACGACCGCCATCTAGAAGAGTCGCCGCAATTCCAGATGATGCTAACGCCAAAGCTATGTCACATCTTGATCGAATAGTGGCCAAAATCAATGAAATGACAAATGTTTTCCCTGTTCCTCCAGGTGCATCCAGGAAGAATAGACCACCAGTATTATTGTCCACCGCTTGCATCAATGTTTTGTATTAGTTTTGAATGTTCATTCAGCAACGGAACATTATTTCTAACGAATTCCTGCAATGTATCAACATTGTATTGCAGCTCTCGATTTAATTCTTGGTTGAATGCATCGTGCATCGATCGATTTGGCGCAATCATTCCTACTTCAATCAGTAGCTTGTTTGCAATAGTCAAGCATTGATCCTCAATCAGAATCAATCCTTCATTGTAGATTTCATCGGTTATTTGGATGTCAGGATTATTCGTTTGAATACGCAAGCGATGCAAGATATCTTCACATATGGCGTCTTTGTATTTGTTCCATAACTGAATTGGTTGTGAAGGAAAACATGTGGTGATGATAATTGCGAACAGCGTTCGTATTTGGTACGCATTTGATGAAACAACTGAATCTGCAAGTGTTAAATCCCAATGAGAATCGTTCTCCAGCAAACCCAATAGTTGACATGCTTCTCGATATGTTTGGCATTGGTGGCCATTCACAGTTTTCAAATGCGCAAATGATTTCGGTCCACGTACATTTACTAACAGCAGTCGCAAATAAAAACATTCATCGTTTCTAGGATGAACAGTGTACATACGACCTAGTGCATCAGTTGAAAACACCTGTGGCCAGTCTGGAACTGGGGTTCCTTGTTTGCGACGTTGGAATTTCTTTGTTGATTGATTCCAAGTGTAATACTTGGGCATTTCAACGTACATCAGCGTCGCTGCGAATGGATCTGCTTCACACATTGCAAAGAAGCTAGTCAATGTTGTCGATGGTGGTCTCTCAGCTCGTTGTGCCGCATTAGCCTCAGTGAAGTAAACTCTTTGGCCATTTTCCAAATGCACTGCTAAATGTACAACTGTGGGATATCTTTCATGAATTTGAAATGACAATAATCGCCACAGTGCTTCATTAGTACTGACGTATCTGCCCATTTGGAAGTTGCTGATTTCGTCATTCACATTTTCCGACGCAATACCAAACACAGCCATGTCGCTGCCTTTTGTGACGTACTTGCACAAATATTTGATTGATTTGGCCGAATGACAACTCTCAACGTTTGCATGTGTTTCGAAAATTCGTGATAGCAGCGGGCAATATGGTACAATGAATTCATTTCCGATCTCAATCTCTTGATTTTGAACTTTAACTTTGATAGTTCGACCGTTATCTTCTTTTGAACGCCGACGATAAACTGGATATCCATCGTTCCCTGTGACTGTTTCAGCAACTAACGGTCGCGGATATCGTTTTGTGCATTTTCCATCAGCCATGCAAGGCGATAATGGATTTAATGCACCGCACGGTCCATGCACCATCTGTGTCGTCACAATGTCGTGTAGACGGGGATCAGTGACTGGATCAGGAATTTCAGCTGATATGATGTCATCCACTTCATTTGAATGTAATTTGTTCAGCAACCAAATTAGGATATGAGCATGCGGTAGTCCACGCTTCTGCCATTCCACCGAGTACATATAACAACGTGTGTCACCAAAAACTCGATACTTAGTAAGCACATCCATCATAACCTTGAGTTTTTGCTGAAATACTCTGGCGATTATGTCATGGCGATCTTGCGGTTTTTGACCCGGTTCCAACTCGCGTTCAATTTCCGTCCACTTCGGATTGCATGTGACCGTAATAAATAAATCCGGAGTTCCATAATTTCGCACGTACGTCATAGCGTCTTGAGCGTATTCGTGCATGTGGCGTGGGCTTCCGATATAAGTTGATGGGAGAATCGTCAGTCGTCCAATATTCTGAACATCACCATCTGAATGAATAGCATCACGCAAGTGTATATAGTCCTCAGATCGTAGCTTTGGCTGATTGAATCTGATGAACGCTAAACGTTCGGTCTCGACTTTGACATACATGTCGACAGCGAATTGCTGGAATAGCCGACCGCACTTCAGAATGACATTCTCCTCATGTGTACGAATCATCATACGATACGCATAGTAATTCATTGCGCTTAGATTTTTATTATTCGTTGATACTCCTGAAAATGCAAAATTAAATGAATTGTTAATGGAAACCAATAAAAGTAATAATGGAAATAATTAGTGTGTGAATATTGTACCTGTAATTGGATCGACCATCTTCAACGTGATGTCGTATCCGTCTTGCCCTTGCCAATAAATGATTGGATATTGTAACGCATCGTACAAACGATGTGTCTCGTTTACACGATGCATGATATTGCTTCTTCGCTGAACGACAATGTCTCGTGATTTAGTTGGATCGCCAACAATAATTGCAGCAACATCATTAACGGTGGGTGCATTGAATCTTCGCACATGTTCACCTGTTGGAGTACAATCCGCTCTTATGACAAATTTGTGCGTATCCGATGGCATTCGTTCCAATGCTGTTTTGAACATATTAACCACAGCATTATTAGCGTGAAAAAATGCTTGCAACTGTTCAATAATTCGTCTCTTTAACTGTTGTGCTCCCTGTATATTGCACCGCACGTTCAGCTGATCCACCATCGACGAAATGAAATATATTTGCAGAAATTGATGCGGTTCATCTGGTGTTGGCACCATTGAACCATGCAAATGATATATTTGACCTTGTATCTGTAATTCGTGTGATGGTGTAGTGTGTGGTGTATATGAAGTTGTTATGTGTTGCAATTATGTGTTGGTTATGTGTGTTGTATCTTTTACCTTGCAAGTCGGCATGAAGCCGCCTTCTCGAATGATATTAGCTCCAAAGGAAGTCATGCGAAAGCAGTTATTGTATTCAAGGATGTGTTGAAGAAAATGGCTGGAATCGGGATCACTTCCATCAAACAATGTTTTCAGTGGCTGTGGTGGTGTAAGTAATGGATCCAGTTTGACTTTTCCACTTGCGCAGCACAATCCAACCGTTTCTCTTTTGAACTTTACCGCATTGCAATATCGGCATATAGTCGTCATTCGTCCAATATCCAAATTTTCATCATCACTGTAGTTCGCAGTGGGATCATATTGGAATGCCAAGCGATTGTATGATGCCAATGATCTTCGTGTGCTCACGCGATGTCTCAATCGGTCATTTTCTCTTATTATATTTTTTCTTTCTTCTCTTAAGTTCCTTGAATAGACTTGTTGCTGGCTTGCATGTCTTGTGCGGCGGCCGATGTTCGCACGTCGTTCTCTAGGCATTTTGGACTATGGACAGAGTGTTGAATTTAACTTCAAATGCACGATCCACATAATTTACACTGAGCTTAAATGAAATTAACTGAGCAGAGAATAATGACTATCTATCACACACTTTATCACGCACCGTTGCTATTGGTTTGAAGTACATGCTATGTATAATAGATGGCGCTGTATGTGAAAAACGATTTCCCCACTTTTCTGTTGAATTTTTCCTGAATTTTCCAGAATTTTCTTTGCTATAAACCTCACGGAGCCCAAGACCTTTCCAACGAATGCAAAACCGTGGAAATCGGTTCGTGCGTTCTGGAGGTATAGCGTCAGGGAGGAAAACCGGACTTATTTTTATATAATAGATTTCAGCCATTCCTCAGTTCTGAAAACCATTTATTTAGACACATATTGAAATTAAATACATTTTAATTTCAATTAAATACGAGTATAAACGTATGAGCAGTATGACGATTGTTTGGTGATTTTGAATATTTTAATAATGATAATATTATTGATTTTATATCTTGTAATTAACCTAAGATTACGTGTTTATTACTACAGTTATTTTTTGTTATGAAATCAACATGTCTTATAAAATAAATTTTTTTATTTTTTATTTAATTAAATATAATTTATTAGGTAAAAAAAAAAATCATTATAGTATAAATAATTTTTATCGAAAATAATTCTACCTATAATTATTCAAATAATAAAAGCAGTGTATTATTTTTTTTTTAAATTAGGGCAAATTATTATATCAATGATGCATATAATAATAAAGACACTATTTTATTAAACACAAAATGGCACGTTTCAGTAATTGTGTAATTATTCAAAAATAGGATTACGATATTTTCTCTCCACCAAATTTATTTTTATTTTTTCATAATATAACTCGAACCTTCGCTATTGAAATACTACACTCTAGATGTACGTTTACATATTTTAATACGTATTTTGTGAAATAATAGAATTATATGGAAAATGACATACAATTTATAAAATAAAACTATGATGTAAGTTAGAAATAAAATAATAACAAATATTCTCTTGGATCTTAATAGTAATGAAAATAAAAATAAATCTTCAAATATTATTTTTAAATAAATTTTAGTAAGCGTTTATTTTGATTGTATAATAATTTCATGACGAGCACTTGTTAAACACATGATTTTTTTACATAAAACTCGGTGACGGACCATTTAAAACTGATTTTTTAAAAATAAAATATTTCATTTTTAAAATTATGAATGATTAAATATATAAAAATTATGTTTTTCAAAGTTAATTGTGTTTTACAAATAGATTTACATTTCTATACATAAAAAAAACGTTATTACATAATTATGTTATAATGTAAAAAAAAAATTATAGTTATTTGAAAAGACATAATGCAATAAAAATAAAATGTTTGAAAAGATAATTTGCTGTTTGTTTCATCAGAGATTTGTGAATTTTTATTACAAAATAAATCAATGGTTCAGTAGCATATTGAAAAACTATTTAGGAAATATATCATGTCGATGACCATTTTTCTCGATTGGTGGTAGCATTTCATAACATTTCTGAAGCACTTAAACTACAAAAACATATTCGGCCATAAAAATATAATAAAATACTATTGCATTCTTCGTTTTTCTCATATTTAAATCCTGAAAGTTCTTAAATCCCATAGTTTTAAAATAAATGCAAATAACTGATAAATTAAACTTGAAGTATAAAGTTAATCTTTTGGTTACAAACGCAAAATATTTTATACCATTTATCAATACTTAATATATATCATGCTTTTACATTAGGGTACCAAACATTGTTCATGATTCCATTGAAGCGAGACGTTGTACTTTCGTAATCATAAGTATTATCCGCATTATAATTGTAATGTGGGGTACCTGTACAGTAATTTCTTGTTGAAACCGTATTTTCCTTCGTTTATGAATTTGGGCGTTGTTGATAATTATTATAATTCAATAAAAGTTTGCATAAGCACATACATTTATATATAGGTAAATGTTGGTCCAAGTTGTTATCTCACAAGACATCGATTAAGTTTTACATAATAATTATCTGGTCCATTTATTCACAGATATAGGTCCGACTAAACGGCAGACAAACTAACGCATGAAATAATGTCATATGTCTACGACGCTTATACTATAATACCTTAAACAGTACTATACGAAAACCTTTAGTAGACAAATTATAAATATATATCCGAAATTAGAATAAGTAAATGTTTTGCCTTTTTTACACTTTTAAAAATATCTTTCATAATTATAGTAATTAAAAACATTTTTGTGCATTTTTTCAAGTTTTTGCTTTCTGTTAATACATTTTATTGAAGAATGATGAACTATGAGAACGAAAAATGCATAGAACGTATATAATAAAGGGTTCACGATAATATAAAAAAGAATTATTTTCACGTTATGGAATACATAAACTCTATTTTATTTTTAAACTTAAACATTCTTCGGTATAAAACGAAAGACTAAACCCAAACATCAAAAAAGTTGAGAGAAAGGCGAATGTAAAGAAGAATAAGAACGTTCTTTGGTTTAAAAATATGTTTTAAAACATTTAACAGGTTTATGTTTAACGTGTGTTTAAAATGTCATCGGACTCTTTCATCAAACATTGAATAAAAGGTTTTAAGAAATGTTCTAGTTACATTTAAGTCATTACATTTTTTAAGTTTACAACTTGTATAATTGTAATAAATACCATTAGAAAACTTATATTTTACGATTTTATTTCTAATCATTTTTTAGAAATATTCACGACTGAATTTGTTTTTATCAATTGAACAATACAAAACTATTTTAATAAAGATCTATTTTTATTTATTTATTTTATTCATTCTTCTTTCGGCATTATTGGTGTTATATACGTTTATAAAATGCAATCATTCCAGCGTTTAACGTTATAATTATAACGTTTCCAAACACTGATCAAGTTAAACGCGAAATACATTATAAATATTAAATCTCGTCAATGTTGTAGAATGAAAATAAATTATTCATTAACTGTTGAAGAATAAATTAATTTCCTTTGACAAAGAAAAGAACGAGATAAACGATCACAAACAATGACATTTTTAATTAGTACCGATAATACGTAATTTTTCTTTTCCAGGTTTTACTACTATTATGATGCGTTATCATTTATATTTACATAATTTAAATATTTTTGTTAGCTTATCCCAATTAATTTTTATACCATGTACTCAATAGCTAAATGATTACCATACTATTATAACGAGTCCTTACTTGGAACGCCCAGATCCGTAACGATAGGCTTGTCTTGAATACCCAACTCCACAAACTAAGTATCTTGCTTATAAACAATAAACATTATAAATTGAAAGTTATAGTTCTTATGTATAAAACATTACTGAAAGCATTAGAAACATATGGCCTCCCATTGTGGGGTACTGCAAAAGTACCGAATACCAACAAAATCTAATAGCACTAAATTCTCGCTTTCAGAAAAATTACGAATGCTTCACCTTTTGCGTTCAATTACACCCTACTTAAAGATCTCAAAATAGCAATTGTGACAGAAGAAGCTGTACATTCGTACAAAATTTTCTATAATCGTCTACAATTCAACCAAAATCCATTGATAAAAACATCTATACGCAAACTATACTGGGAAATCCCGGGCGTCATCTTAAAAAGAACTAGTGCCATGACTCGTTAAAATAAAAATTAAAAAAATCGTAGATCTAGACCCTGAAAATCGTTAAATTTCTAGTCATTTGTCACCAATGGATGATTTCTTTATTCAAAGTATTGATGTTTGTTACTTAAATACATCACATATGCTTATTGTGCTACATTGTACAGATTGTTTGTATATATATAATTGTAAAATAAAAATAAATAAAAATAAAATTATAACGAGTAACGGATTTACACATTTTTTACACTCCATGCACTTCATGCAGGCATTAGGATCCTGACCCAGGTGCAATGGACTGACTTTGATAACATTGTTTTAAAAATATAGTACTACTCCCCGATGATGGCCGAAAAAAAATTATAATTGGAAACACTGACCTATTGTACGTTTCGAACATTCGGCCGATATAGGTAATAGCGTAAAGAATGCGAGTAATGCATTTATGTACTATGGGCAAACGCAGTGAATGTTTGATAAAACGTGACCGGAGTCGTTGACCTTAATATCCCAGCCCGGGACGTAATCATTTAAGATTTTTATGATTTATATGCTCAGGAACTATATGATACCACAGGAAAGTAACATTTTTAAGAACGATAAAAAACAAAATATTGTACTTATATCGGATATCATGTAAAAATGTTTACTACCTACTTTGACTCCTTCATTTGGTAAATGCGATTAATAAGATCGCACATTTACCGTGTTCACAATAAAATATTTTTAATTAATCACTAACGTTATTGAACAAATATTCGGATGAAAATGACGCTCTTATTTATAATAATACCACTCATAACCCTTGTCTTCTCAGTGTATTTATATGTATTATAATCGAATAATTTCAATGATAAACCTTTGAAATTCTAAACGAAACATTGGCATTTTATCAAATTTACATTTCCATTAGATCAAAATAAAAGTAACGACACGCGATAGTAATAATTTATGTTATTAATATATATATAAAATAGGTATATATATATAAACATTCCTTTAACAAGACTAGGTTATTTTTATTTAGACGAGTATATTTTGTGCTTGTCTCACACTGTTTGTTCGCTTTGATCTAATCAAGTATTCTATTTTATTACTGTTCGCATTTGAGAGTATTGAAGAAATTCCGTGTAAAAACAGTTATATTTAACTGAATATTTCATTATTCAAAATATTCATTAGTATTAAATGCTCTGAAGTTAATTAAAAACATTGCTCATATCATTAAAGCGTGATTCCATTAAAAAAATATTTACATATTTTTATAAAAAAAAATACACATATAACTTTTATTTATGTATCATAGGATATTTTATTCGATTGTATTTATATAGCATTAAAAAATTAACCATATTGAAAATGAAAATATTAACTATTTTTTAGCAGTCTAATTTTCAAAGAATTACATGTATTAATTTTAACTAGAAATCAAATACTGGGATGACATGATACGTAGGCTATACTGTAGTTTTTATAGTTTCTGAATTTATAACTTTTTTTTATTCTGATTGATGTACAAGGAATGTAGTGGTTTTGTATGTCTTAGTAATTAATATTATGTTTATTTCTGTCATTTATGGGATTTTAGCTAAAATGATTTCTGCGATCATCTACAAGAGGGATGATTTC